CAAAAAAAAACCAAAAAAAAAAAAAAAATCAAACCAAAACAAAACAAAAACAAAAGTTATACACATTTATGAGGTACCATGTGATGTTTCTGACACATGTTCAGATTGCGTAATGTTTAAATCAGGTTAAACATATCTATCTCCTCATATTTGTAATTACTAATTTATAATTTTTTATGGTGAATATATTCGAAACCCTTCCCTCTAGCATTCTGAAATATATCCTACAACTACATTATCATCTATAGTCACTCCACTGTATAAGATAGCATATTATGATCTTCTGGGTTTTTTTGCTGTTGTTGTTTGTTTGTTTTTTGAGACAGGGTTTTGTTGTGTAGTTCAGGCTGGCCTTATATTCACTATGTAGCCCATGCTAGCCTCAAACTCATGTTAATCCTCCTGCCTCAGCCTCCTGAGTGCTGGGATTACAGGCATGTGCCACAACACCTGGCATGTCATGATCTTTTTAAACATAAATAATACTTATTTGTTCGGGATGACATTTCATGTCAATTAAAAATTGGATGTTTTATAGTCTACGAAGTTCTTTCATATATAAACTAACCCATTTAACTATTATAACATTCCTGTGAGGAAGACAAAGTGAGACATTTACAGATTAGGAAACCAAGTCTTTCAACCTTAAATCAATTGCCAAAAGTTACAGAGCAGACCAACAGCTGCATAAGCACATAAGCCTGGGTTGCTGACCATGTGAAATCTTTAAATATACTACTGTGTCCTTACATACATTCTTTCTCTGCATAACTTCTTTTTGAGCAATATTAGTTAATACCAAAATATATTATTTGGCTCTCTGAACTAGTGAGGGAAGGCCTTTTAGTTCTTTTCTTTACTCAAATATTTAGTACAATATTCTAAGCTACTACCTTCAAGTGATTTCTAGGAGCCAGAATATAAATTATAGAGAAAAAAATAAGATCTAGGATATATTCCAAATGAACGGAGGGCAGGACCAAAATAAATTATGTAAAGGTGCAAATTTCCAATGATGAATGTCATTATATTATATACCTAAAATTTACCAAAAAATTAATAAAAAATATATTCCAATTATTTTATGTGGGAGTTAAATAGCATCTTTGATGCATTTCCCCCTACACTTGTTTTTTAAAATTCTATTCCTAAAATAGGAGTAAATTCTCCAAATGTGTTAATTAATACCTAACATCTGCTTAGTTTCCCTTCATAGATAGAATACAATATTAGAGCTTTTAACTCAATGTTAATTCTTATAAATGGTTAACTAAATAAATTAATAAAAATTTCATTATATTAAACTGAAATATTTCATAGCTTAGCTTCTTTGGGTTTAATGTTGCAACACAAACTACCATGTTTAATGAAACAAAGTTTTCATTGAGTTTGTCTTACACAGTCCAAGAGGATTAGCATGGAAGGGGACTTAAACTCTGACCTCTCACCAAATGGCAGAATGCCACGTACGTATCTGATATCTCACTTACAGCTGTTCAGTCTTTAACTCATTCAAGAACAGACAGCATTTCTTCTGCAGACCAAGCCAGAATTTGCCCTTCTATGACATTAGCTCAGTTTTTTCAATCAGCTGGAAGATACCATTATCTTAAATGTTGTACCTTTACCAAATGAGCACTTAAGGCATACTAGACTCGGTGCAGGGCTTCTCAAATATTAACTTCTAAGAACACTACAGGTGGTACTATTACCAATTCTTTAACAACACAAAATCTAAGATCATACTGGCCAGAAATTGGTAGAGGTAGGATTTGGTAGTTCTACGTCTGAACTACAGTATGATACCATACCAAAGAAGGCAGCTGGTAGTGGTTCTATCACTACCTTGGTCTTAGCACTGAGTTAAGCCCTCTGCATGGTTCTTAGAGTGGTAGCCCCATCCTTTGCCCTCTACTTGCTTTCTTGACTTGCTCAATAGCCCTTTAAATGTGGCTCTGGATCTGAGCACAGTTCAGCAATCTTAGAGCTCTAGCCCATGATCACTTTAACTTCTTTTCTTTATCACTGTGTAGCACCCCAGGCTCCAATCGCGATAAATATTGGGCTACTGAGAGTTGAAAGAATGGTGTTGGGTGGTTGAGGTCCAAATGTCATAAACAATCGTGTAAAAATCCAGGGAGCTGGAGAAACATGAGATGCTTGCAAATTCTGATCTGTAATTAAGATTTTCCACCAACTCTCTGGTCACATGTATTTAGCTGGGAGTTAATCTTCCAGTTAAGGTGAGAATCACCAGTCAAGATCAAGATGAAAGATGCTAGGAAATTACATATTAAATTATTAAGCCATCATTTATTTGTTGATAATTGAAGACTCTTTTGGGGGGTGGTAGTGCTGGGGCTCATCAGCTCTACCACTGAGCTATAGCCCCAGGGTCAAAACTGCACTTATTTCACCTCAATACCAAGGGTATCAGGTAAAAATGAGAACTGGTACTCCTTCACGTGATAAACTCTGATTTAACCACATTCAAAAGTAAAGAGATTTTTTTTGATAGGTTCACATTCATTTCTCCATTGACATATTTACAGCAGAACATAAAATAAATGCTGCTTGTACATAAAAGCCAGGTCCTTAGGTGGCTCATTCAAAGAACTAAGATCTCCAGCTGGCTTACAACTCCCTTCCTTCCTTGCTTCCTTTCTTAGTTCAGGCTGGCCTTAAATTCACTATGTAGCTTAGACTGGCCTCCGACTTGCAATGATCTTCCTGCCTCAGCCTCTGAATGCTGGGATTATAGGCATGCACTATCATGCCTGGCTCCTTGTTTTGGAATTTTCCAGCTTTCAGCTTATCAATAATTTCTTCAGTATCCTTAGGTGTCAGATCCTCATAGTAGCTGCCATTTATGTGAATTATCAGTGCGTTTACACAGACCTCTAAACATTCCACCTGTACGAAGTGAAAAGTTGATAAAGCATAGCTTGCCAGCCTTTATTTCAAGCTTTTCCTTAATGGCCTCCAGCATGCTGTCAAGTTTTGGCACATGAAAGGTGTAGTGGTGCAAACACTGTATGTACTTTTGACTGTACACCGTATAAAAAGTTGCTACTTCATGTACTGTACTCTCATTGGAGGTGCTTATAAAATCCTAACCTAGCACATAGCGGATGTGGCCAGGTGCCCATTCTGCCTGTGGGTTGAGTCCCAGGACTGGAAGCACAGCCCTGCTTTATGCCCTCCCGTGTAGTGTTTTACTATCACCTCTGTCCTCACAGTGTGCTGGTGTGAGATCGATCACAGAGCTGGGTTATTCTCAGGAGTATCTCTGTGCACAAATGAGGCTTCTCCAGCACTATCTGCACAGCTGTCTAATCAGATTCCTACGTGTTTCCCATGGCTGAGGCTGGCTGCCTGGGCCCACAATGCCAAGGAAGATTACTTTAGTTACTGCAGGATTCTTCACCCTGCTTCCAGAGAAGAGAATCCAAATATGGGGTTTCTGTGGTCAGAAAGGGACCTGAAGTTTTATACTGGATGTATACGTATATGTATATTTTCCTAGGAAGAAATGTCTTAAGA